AGGAATAACAAATTCCAGGGTGTTATTGTCAGAGTTGTTCCAAGAATCAATCGTATATCATAACCAGAGGTGACTAGGTGGTTTATTAATTTTTAATTTAAGGAAATGCTATCTGAAACTTAGTGATCTGTGTGGATAATGTCTGAATTCTGCAAGCACAGTTTGTTTAATTTTTTGAAAAAGGTGATGCTTCCTGATGTTTTAGTTTTAGTTTGTCAGGTTTGAAATATTCTGTTTTCTGTAGTATTGGCATATAATAAAAATTAAGAATTCTTAGCCTGTTCTAAAGTGCATATATTAAATAGCCCTTCCAAAATGGTGTTTCTGTCAAAATTTCCATTGAATGTCATGTGGAGAGCTTAGCCCCTTTCTCTCCCACTTGCTAAATCTTCTTGGGCATGAGATATTTCACACAAAGTGAGACAGATGTAATGACAGTACAATTCCTCAGGTTCTTCCATCATCAAAACCTGTGCTATTTACTGTCTCTGGGCTCTGGAGGGGTAGGTGGATGAGTACTTTGATCACAGAGGAATGTTTAGCAAGGGACAAAATGTTTCTGGTTTATTTTTAAAGAGGTTTTGTTTATTTTTCTGTGCAGAGTGTGCAAGGTATGTTTTGCAGTATTCTTTACATGGTGGAATGAGTTCTGAATTCGTTGACCATTTCTTGTAATGCTAGTATTTTTATAACTTTTGGATATCTGTGTAAGGCTTTTTGATTATTTTTTTAAAAAAACATTTTTCATTTTGCCCTATACTCTAAATCAGAATACCTCTTACTATTGCTATTTGTAGGTTGCCAGAGCATGTCAGGCTACTCCTAGAAAAGCATAAATATGGAAATAATTTTTGCAGGGATCTTCATCTGAAGCACAGAGAAGAACTTGCTCATGGAAATAGGTTTGTTCATCAGCAAAGGCCAATGCAAAAAGAAATCTTGTCTCAGTGCTGAGAATCTAAAATAGTTTTATAAGAATTCATGTAGATAAAAACAGCTAGTGTGATTTATACCAGTAGATTACAGAATGTGTAGTGTATAACCCAAATTTCATCTCTGAAATACCTTAGCAAAATATAAAACAAAGACCTCTAACACTGTCATAGCCATTAGGGGGGCAAAGGAGGACAAGAATGGTTGTGTAATTAACAGTAACATGCAGTTTAATAAGAAAACTAATTTTTGTAAAGAATTGTTGATAGCCTGTCCAAGCTTTGCAGAGGATAAGTTAAATGTTTTTGCTTATCAGCAGGCTGTGCCAGCACAAGAGTGTCATTTTGAGAGCTAATTTAGTTTAGTCCTGGTTAGAATTAGAATGTGTTAATGAAGAGTGCCTTACACTCTTACTATGGTGACTGTTCTTGCTGATGGAGATGTCCACAAAAGAAGCAGAGGAAACTAAATAAATGCAAGTATTCCTAGTCATCTTTCAGTACTGCTACCATAAGAAGAAAATAAAATTAAAATATAAAAATACTGTTTCTTACCATTTGGTCTATATTTAAGTGATGACAATCATTTTAGCCAGGAAAAGAGTTGAAAACCAAAAATGATGAAAATTAGTTGTATTTTCAGAGACAGAATATGTAACTTGGCAATTAGATTAATTTTTAATGGAGGACAACAAAGAGTTTGGGTATATTGAACTTCTTATAATTTGTAATTTTACGTAAACAAATTAAGAGATTTGGTCACGAGAATTCCCATCTGGTTTAGAACCTTGATGCTGGCAGCTTGGACCCTCTTACAGTACCTGCTCTTCAAGTAGCAGCACAATTAATCTAAAATGTTTTCTCCTAGCATGTACAAATTAAGCATGTGGTTCCATTTTCAGCTTCTATTGATAAGTAGCTTACAGTTTGTGCTGATGATGGTGACTGAATTGTATCAAACAATTCCATTCTTTCCGTTTCAGCCTTTTTCTATACCAAGTGCTAAAAGTCTGTTTCACCTGCTGTTTTTTGATGCTTTGTTTCTCTCCTTAGAGATATTCTGCAGTTAGGAGCATCATCTGCATCTCAGAGTATTGAGGCTTACAATCTGAGGAGATTGTTCAAAAAAACCAACCAACCAAACAAAAGGATTATGAAAACCAGTTATCATTTATTTTTTTTTACTTCTAAAATTTAAAGGTGTTTTGGGGAGGCCCTGCTGAGCACTGACTGGTGCAAGCAGAACCCATTCCTTTGCCTTCCCAAGACATTAAAAATGCAGTAACAGCATGGCATGGGCATCCTCTTGCAGGTCTGGATGGAGCTGTTGTTAGAGATGGATCCTCCATCACTCTCCCCCCCAGGGGATGGTGCTGCCACGGGCTGGGTTGGAGGGGAGGACCCTGGCAGGCAGAGGTACCCAGCTGAGCCCACTTGCTGGTGGCTGGTCAGGCTTGGCTGACACTGTGATGAAGTCCCTGAGATACACAAAACACCTTCAGTTTCACAAAATCTCCTGTAGGAACACTCATCTCAGGCACAGCAGGAGGGCTGAGCTGGGTAGGGGACATCTTCAATGGCTTGAGCACGTCCCTCCTGGGCTGTCCATGCCTGGTGCTTAGCAAGTCACTCCACTGCAAGCCAGGCAGCCTCTGGGGGTGTATTTTGTCTGGATGAGACAGATTGAGCCACTGCCCTGCTCCCTGCAGCAGCCTTAAATGTAGTAATTTGAAGCAGATTAGTGGTGTGCTTTAAAACATACCTTCTGCCCTGCTTTGACCAGGCAAAACACACATTTTCTCAAGCTGAAAAACCTTTTCAGGACACCTGTCTGGGAAGGTGTTAATGGGAATCCAGCATTGCTATTTAAGCTACCCTGACACCCTGAGAAAGGTGGGTGTTTTTGTGCCACGTAGGCAGGCTTCTGTTCAAGCAATATTCTTCCCATTTTGTTCTCCTCAAACTGAGCTTTGCTCACTGGAATTTCAGCTCTCGGAATTTTTACGGTTAGCAGATGTGTGCAGCCTCTCCATCCCTCACACCCAGTACCTGCAGTAATTCTGCTCTGAGCTGCATTTATTTGGTTTCCTGCTGGGTGTGTGTGTGTGTTGCATGAGGTTGTGTTATCCAGTGTAACTAGTCACAGGATGTAACAAGTCACGCAGTACACATGTATTGGATATTTACTGTAAATTCAGTCTCATTAGGAATTCAGTCTCAACAGGATTGGAAATGTAACCACTACTTGGGATTAGCAAATTGATCGTGGATTGTTGTAAATTTTGCAATTTATATGGGACAAAACATGGTTGATAAATGTAACAGTATGAGTAAAAAAAGGTAAAAATATCAATGCAAAATGACAATATTCCCACATTTGGAAGCAGGTTAATTATAATCTGAGGCTTTGGAAAGGAAGAAAATTTAAAGAAAACTATATTTATGGAAATCTGTCGTACTTTTGCTTTTAAATTATTTTATTCCAAAAGGATTAGGTACAAGAAAACTAAACCATACCATATTCTAGAGTCTTCCAAACCACTGAAAAAAAGACAGTGAGAATAACATGAGTGGCAGAGAAATGTGCCACCTTCTGTGCCTTGATGTCATCGGCTTCCTGGTGGATATTTTTTGTGAAATATTGTTTCCTGAATACTGCAGCCAAAATATGGGCAGTGAGACTACTCTGGTTTAATGTTACCTCTTCAAAGACTTCCCCACTGAGAAACTTATTATCTGCTGTGCCCTTGTATTCCCAGGGATTAAGAAAAAGAGTATTTTACAAGATTTTCACATTATACCTGTGTGTGTGCACATACAACTTACCAAATTAAAAACAGAGTTTATAAGATTACTCTCCCTAGACATAGTTTGCTCCTTTCTTTAGCTAGAAGATAACAAAAAGTACTAGAATGTGTGGAACCATTATTTGAGCTCTTGAACTTTGTTTCTTTTGAAGATTTTTTAACAATTTGACATGATAGGTTGCTGTAAGTAAAAGCAGGGAGCTTCCTAAATTTAACATTTCACACCTTGATTTTATTTGGTGTAGTCTCTTTTCTTTTAGTATTTTTTAGTGTTATTTTAGTAATTTTCTCCACTTAGGTGTTTTGTTGCTTGTTTTTTCACTTCAAGTTGCTAAATATATATATTCTGCAGTGACTACATAAAACATTTTGCCTCTCTGGCTTCTTTTTCACTCAGTTTAGTAGAATCTTCTGCTTATATTCCTCTGGTCCCAGCTGCATGACAGCAGCCTTCAAGCTGCTTTTTGTGATACCAAATTACTGAATTTTATACCTGAAGGCAGTAATTACAATATGCTGGTGCTGGCAGATGTGTTTAGTTGGCTGTTCTCCAGAACAGTTACCAGAATCTTCTACTACTGCTTCAATTTGCATGTTTTCAGATGCTGGTGGCATCTCCATCTCAGTTTGGGCTTGGATATGACATTCTTGCATGTCATTTTGTTTTCTTCATGTTCTTCTGTTGTCATTTTTAGTTTAGTGTGTTTTTTTGTTTGGGTTTTCAGGATTTTGGTGGGGCTTTTTTTGCTTTTTAAAATACATTTATGTATGTGCCAGTTCCTGAACTCCATTTGAGAAGTTAATTGTGGCTTCAGGAAGTGCACAATAGCATCGTTTACACCTTCTTGTACTGGATATAATGTCCCTGTTGCAAATTAGAGGGATTTGAAGGCTGCAGTTGTGACTAGAAGCCCTTGAGAGCCACTTCAGCACCTGGAAATTACTGTGAGATGGAGCCACTCTGGTTATACCTTTCTTCCTCAGTGAGGTCAGCTTCAAGTGACTGGTTTCTCTTAGACAGGCTTTGCAACATCTTAAGCAAAATCTGGCCCTGAAATAACATACATTATTTGAAAAGTACCCTGCATCCTTTTGCACAGAGAAGTCTCTAGGAGATACCTTTTGCCCCTATGACTTCTTCCTACTCAATAGCTGAAGTTATTGCTGCGTTATTAAATCATGGGTTTGGACATATTTTTCCAGCTTAATACTTACTTTCTATATTTGCCTTGACTATTTTTTGAAGAGTCATATGTCTTTAATCCTTAGGTGGAAGAATTGCTCTTGTAATCTGTGCATTGCTGACAGCTCTTTTGCTCCCTGCTAGCTGGGGTAAGCAAGGAAGTATGATTCACTGGCGTGGCACCTAGTTGATCCCCCCTGCTGAGCTCTGAGACAAATCAGGAGACTGTCTTTATGATAATTTAGTGTGTGGAACCATTAGAGGGTTTTGGTTATCCAGATGCTGAATTTTGAATTGACAGAAGATAGCAGGCAGAAATGTCCAAGTCTTCAAAATGCAAATAATTCATTTTTTGTCTTGAGAAGTGCTACACTGACCAGTTCATCTTGGTAGAACTTTCTTTGGACAAAAACGATGTTGGTGTTGGAGAGGGAGGAGTTTAGTAACTGGCACAAACATAAATATATTCAAGTTTTTATTTTCAATGGTAGAATTCTTGTGGCAAACTTAGGTACTAAATCTTGATCCAAACCAGCATAAACACGTTTAGAATTGTCCTTGAACATCACTGTCTCACCATTTTCTGCAATGCTAGATGTATCTTACTGATACTTGCATTCATCAAAACAGTAGTTGTGCTTCCCAGTTGTTTGTGTGTTTTCTTGTCTAGGGAACCAAGAACCATAAGAACTATTTGAAATGTACTAGATGAAGTCATTCATCGCAGTTCCACTTGGTTTCAGAGGATTGTTTAGAGGATAGGAGAAGGTTTAAACACTTCCACAAATATGTTTAAGGGGAATATGTAGATACACAAATATTGACAATATATAAATCCTCTTGTAAGACAGAGTTGGATTGAAGAGGCTCCTGTAGTTATTCAACACAGCAAACTATAACGTCACTTAAACAGATGCACTAGCTCTCAAAGTCTGCTCTGATGCTTGTTTTGGAAACATTGCCTCAAAAAAATTAATTAATTACTTAACAATTTCAGGGAAGAATCCTATACTTGCTCGGTGAGGCTTTTGTTGGGTAGACTTGAGACCTACCTAAATCCAGACTTTCTCAGAAATCTGAAGCAGCTACTGACCTCAGAGACACAGCAAACTACAAATTTTCAGGCATTGTAAACAACATGAGTCATATTTTTAAAAGTGAAATTGTAAATTTGTATTAATAAGTTTCTTTCTGTCCTTAACACAGTGGGGTATTTGTTTCAGCTTTTAAAATGAAATCTTGATTCTACACAAAAAATAGGGTGTTGGGTACTTTTAGGAGCTGCATAGAAGGGTAAACCCCCCTGGGAAGACAAGGGACAAGCAGTTTTCCATCCTGCTTGAAAGTAGATGTACTGCCAATAATCCACTATTATATACTAATATTAGTATCATGAATCTACGTTAAGATGTGGTTGACTTGAGGTACAGTGCTGATTTCCCTTTTATGAGCTGTACCATTGTAAATGAAGTTAAGGTTTCATTTGCTGAATGAGGTAAGCCAAATCGAGGATATTCACTGGAGTGTGCAATACTCCATACAATGTACTTGGTTGACCTTTATGGAAATAGTTGAAATTCTTCTTTCCTCACGTTTTCACTGCCTTGCCAGGGCCTGCATGTTTACAACCTTAATCACATGCACAACCCTTTTTTTGTTTCTTTCTTATCAAAGAGTCTTGTCATCAGAGAGAGGGCATCAAGCAGCCTTCCTCTTCTATAGCACATAATTTCAAATGCCTTTTTTATTAAAGTAATCTTTTCACAGTTGTCATTGAACTTTCTTCTCTAGTTTCTGGACCCTCTGTATTTTTAATTGCTTTCTAGTACATGTATATTTATGGAGGTTGCATTATTTCAGGTTTTATCTGATTCAGAGGTGTAAAAGGTTCTGTTCATACAAGATCATAGGAAAAATTTCATTACTAATTATTGATAACCTAATTCTTTTGCTAGCTATTGATACTATGAGTAGGTGCATTACTAACAGTGTTGATCAGCAGTATTGTAGTGCAATGCTGCTGATGGAGCTGAAATATGCCATTAATTTGTGAAATAATTGCATTGATCATAGACTTTTAGTGACCTGCCAGTGGTACTTAGCTACAGCTGACTAGATAATGCCAGTATAGGTATATTTGTTTCTTTTCGAAGAGACTCCAGTGAGTGGGTTTAAACATGTGGCAGCTCATTTGTCATCAGAGATTGCCCCTGGGAAGTCCCAGTAGACTCCTTTCCTTTATCTCTCCCTTGTCTTCAGTGTCAGGGTCATTAAAAGAAGTGAGCTCCTCTTTGGTGATGTAATGAATCAGTCTTTTTTTGTCCCTGTATTCACAGTCAAAGCATACTTTCAGCTCTTCATTTTCTTTTGGAGCTATAGGTACATGCTCTTGCCAAAATGATCCTCTTCATCATCTGTTTAGTCAGATGTTTGTGCCTTGTTCCTGTCATTCTCACTCTTGCCATTAATCTCCCAGGTTTTTAGATTTCCAGATTACTGTCACACTTTGAAGGTATGGAAGAAAGTAGATGTTAAATGTGTTTGCTGGTGTTGCCATTTATCCTAAGGGACTGACCCTGTTTGTGGGCTACAAAGTAGTATAGTAGTAGCCAAGAGCCACTAGAACCTCCAGAATGCAGGATAGTGGGACAGATTTGTGTGTTATGGTTGGTTTTGAGAGAGATTATGTATGCAGGGGTGAGAGGAGTAATACTGGATTAGTATGATTCATTTGAAGCACCAAAGTTCTAAATACTTATTATAAAATACTTCCTATAAAAAATGAAATCTCTGCCCTCACAGGTTACATCTTGTGTTGCACTTTACAGTAGTATTTAAAAAAAAGTGAATGAAAAGTATTTGCAAATTGTTTTTCTCTAACTTACCTCTTGACTCTTCCCAAAAACCTTTTTCTTTTATGTTTCATAGTTTCTGTCTTTCACTCCTCCAGCTGGAGGTACAGATCTGTGGTTATACAATATAAATGCTTTGCTATTCTTCACAGTTAATGTATTAAGTTATTTATATCCTGCATTCACAATAGCTGTAACAAAGTTTTAAATAATGTATCATGGTAGATGCATTTGCTATGAATATCTGTATTTATTTACTTCAGCTAAACATTGTGGAATAATATACTGAATGCTCTGTGGAAGTATTTAAGCTGGATGCCTGAAGTGTGAATGTGGCAGAACCCATACACTCAATGACTGAATGTGGTACTTACAAGCTAAGTTGAATTATTTAGCAGTATTTTTTTGTTGTCATTTTGTTTTGTTTTGTTTTTCTTTTCCATAGCCTTTCATGTCCCCTCGGTACCCTGGAGGTCCAAGGCCACCTTTAAGAATACCCAATCAGGTAAGAATTTATGACTGATGCCATTGTGGTCCCGGGTGATGCTGCAGTGCTGGGAACAGGAAGTGTTGTCTGGTTGGCTACCAGTGAGTGGCTCAGTCCCTCCCTCTCCACCCCATTTAGTCTGACCTTTAAGTAGGTAGTTGAATAAGGTGCGGCCATGCCACTCCCAGCTCACTTTCCCGTGCCTACTTAGTATTTGCACCTCAACATTTATTGTGTTAAGCCTCTCTGCAGAGGGAGGATACAGTTGCCTTGTACAGTCCTGCATTAACCCCAGCCAGCCAAGGCTGCCTGCTCTGAGATCAAGACAGGATGTCCCTATAGCTGTTACAATCTCTGAACTTTCTTAACCACATCAAGTAGTTAGGCCTGAGAATTTTTTTACTAAATTCTGCATAAAATGCATCACTTCCTTCTATTCTTTGTTGCATATATGAAGTATATTTATTTCACAGTAAATATGGAGATTATTGGTGAGAAACAAGTATCATAAAGTGCACTACGAGTCTTACAGACGCTCTGAGGACCTTATAAAAGCACCAGATTCCCAATTTTCCCTCAGATCTATCAAAGGATATGCATGCCAGTGCAATAAGAATGAGTAATGAGCTGCTGTTCGTCAGCAGAGACCTTTATTGGCCCATCTGTGAAAAGATGGTTCTGGAAGCAGATAGCATTTGTGTTTTAAGTTCTCCCTCGTGCAGATAGAGGAGAAGAAAGTGGTTGTCGACAGATGAAAAGTTAGAGGTAAGCAGATGGAAAAAAAAGTCAGTGAAGCTCTGAAAGAAAAACTGGGTCACTTACAGTATTGAGCAAAGCTGATAGGTCTGATGGAATGGATTTTTTTGGTGTAACTTAGACTTCCTGGACTGCCTTTCTTGTTGTCACAGCTTGATGAGGAGACATTTCTGCTGCAACTTCAGTCCTAGCTATTTTTTTTGTATCTGCATAACATAATGTTAACAAACTTATCTTCAGCACTGGCCCAATATTGCCAGAATGTTTGGAAATAATGAGGTGTATGTATCAGGTCACAAGGCTTCTTCAGTTGTTCCTCCAAATCAAGTGTTTGGGAGCAGGTTAAGTTACCTGTATTGTTCCTGCTTTATTTCAAGGGAAATGTAATTAACTTTGTTACATGTGATCATCAAGGGACAAGGTAAGAGTGCAGTGTCATCAAAGCTTTAGTTATGCATTTGCTACAGATATACTGTAACTCAGTACAAAATATCTTCCTGATTTTCACACCTTTCAGTTCTATCTTAGCCAAAGATACAACAGTGTTTGGGTTTCACATATTCCTTTGTTTTTCTTTCTGTGCTTCTGAATACTGTAAATACTGGCAGGTAGAAGCTAAATGTGGTGAATGCTGTGAAAGCACTGCCAACCTGCAGTCTTAGTTTCAGAAGTATTTTTGTCTGCACATTGTGATATTTTCAGTTCAGAACTGTAACATAATCACATAATCTTAGTGAATTACAGCTCTTGCAATTAGTTTACATTATGCCATATTTTTGAATTACTGCTTTTAACAACACTACCATTATGCAAGTTACAACATAGATGGGCAGTGTGTGGATGTAATAAACTATTGTAATGCAGCTTTAAGACTGAAATTTTCATTTGGCAGAAGTCAGAAAAAATCAGAGTTAAAATTCCCACTGTAGATGTATCTCTTATCCCTCAGTGCCTTACAAGGAAGAGTCACTTATTGCTCTGATCACAGCAGCAAAGGTCTCCATGTCCTTGTGTGTCACCTGCTATCTCAGGCAGAAGTGACCAGTTCCTGCTTGGCTGGTCCTTCTCCCTTCACTTCATGTATTGTTCTGATGTACCATCCAGACTTCAAGCCACTGAAGTACGTGTAAGACTGTGATTTACATTTTGTAATCTCAGATTACTCCTTTATTCCATTAATCTTGCAGTGCAGGACCTATTGACTGCATTACCTTTGAGGTAATAACGTGCACCTTAATTTTGAATTTGCTGTTTCTTATGGAAAAAAGCTGTGTTGTATTTGCAGATAGGTTCCCCTTTGTGTGTATCCAATACTACTACAGTATTTCCAGGTCAAGAGTAGCTTCCCTGTTCCCTCAGTAACCAATACCTGTATTGCCTGAGTAGATTCCTTTCATAATAACAGATTTACCATTCTGGGTGCAGTTTTGCTGAAAATGTGGTGATGTTTTGAGATGCTAAATAGCACCTAGTGGATCAGCTACAAAGATCCATTCATAAAAACATTTTTCTCATTGATTAAACTATAGGTAAGAGACTGTAGGAATTAGCTATAAACCTAATTCAGTTGCTGTAAATCCAAAGGGCAGATTAAAAAGTGGAGACATAAAAGCGATGTGTTTGATTTAGACCAAAGGTGAAGTAACAACACAATGTACCTTCATGCTTGAAGGCAAGATCTAGAAGCAAGTTTTGTGTCTTGTTATCTCACATAGAAGAGTATTAAGCTTATCTTGGTATGGATGCCCTTCAAGATTAAGGAAGAATGGAGCTCCCCCATCAAAGCCCTAATTAACTGTGTCCTGTGAATGCTCTGTGGCTGGCTCAGTTACAGCTCACTCTGAGAGAATATCAGTGTTCACATCCTAGCATCTGAAAGAAAATCTTAAAATAACATCTAAAAGAGAAACCTGTAGCAATATAAACTTTGAATAAATTGTCACATACCGAAAAACCAGGCAGTGTTTGAAGGTTAGAGAATAGGTAAGCTAAAGTGAAGGAAATACAGGGAGGGTGCAAAATAGGCAGTTATATTTTGGACATTATTTACATGAAATTCCACAGAAATCCAAGAGTTTCTCCGTGCAGATTCATAGTCAGGTTCATAGGACATTCAGGACTTTTAGTCTAGTTAGGCACTGAGGACATTTAGTTAGGGCGTTTAGGAAAGTTAACTTTTCCTTATAACTCTTGACTCAGAAGAAAGTATCTACATTATGTCATCAACATAAATTTCAAAGCATGATATGCTTTTAACGTGTGGTTTCTCTGCCTGCAGGCACTTGGAGGTGTCCCAGGAAGTCAGCCATTATTGCCTAGTGGGATGGACCCAACACGGCAGCAAGGTGATTGAAATAGTTGTTTGGACCATTCAAAAACACTCTCAAACTCACAATTTCTTTCTGCATTTCAAAAGCTTGCTGCAGCTTTTAAAGCTTTCCATTGATTAAAAGTGAACGATTTGTTAAAGTTGTTTTAGCAGGTGCTTGTGTATTGCATTGTTTTTGAAGTTACATGATATTTTTTTTTGCAGGGCATCCAAACATGGGTGGGCCAATGCAGAGAATGACTCCTCCACGGGGAATGGTTCCATTAGGACCACAGGTACCTTCCACAGACAGATAGCCATTTTTATCAATATGTCTGTACTTAGACTATATCACTCTGGCTTTCCATAGCTGGAAGCTGGCCAGGACTTGTTCTGCTAATCCCATTTTAAAATAAACTTTATTTGACAAAAATTAATTTTGAGTTGCCAGCTGTACAAAGCCTAAAATAAAAACATCAAGCATTTTAATTAAGATTTTAAATTAAAAGAGGAATCTCTTACCTTGTTTATTTCAGAAAAGTTATGCTTGTCTTACAGCCAGTGCATATTGTAATCAAAGGCTGACATTTCTAAAGGAAATCAAGGATTGAGTAGGTGTTTCCTTATCCTTCCAAACTCATTGATTATCCTGAGGAAAGGATTAATACTTCTAACTTAGGCAAACTCTTTGTACTAAATAAACCACCCCAAATTTTCTGAAGTTCTTCTTTCATGCACTGTTGATCTGGATTTTTGGTGTGTGACAGAAAGATTTTAATATAAACCTGGAAGTCCATGCTGCCATTTCTCCCTGTTGTCAATCACAAGCATCTCTCCAGCTCTGTTTTCGAGAGAAGCAACCTTGAATTTCAGGAATCAGCCTTCTGCATGCTACTGGCCTGGTGACAGTTGTTCATAGGCTCTTTCTTAATAAATGTAAAAACTATGAGTAGTATTTTTCAGTATTACATTTCAACAGTAAACAAAGGTAGGGAACAAATGAATTCTGTTGCATATCTGAAAGATTAATTTAAAGATTACTCTGTATTTTGTCAGGACTCTTAATAACATAAAATTAAAGTAGGGGTGTTTCTTGTCACCTTTGCCGGTGGTTTGTTTCACAGTGTGCTTGTTCTGCCCACACTTTGCATTCTTACTTCCCCATTTCAGATAACCTCTCTAGTGACTTTGTTGCTGGAAATAGCAACTGAATATTAAATGGTTAAATAGCTTGGCCTTTCAAATCTGCTCATAACTGCCTTACAATTTTTAGTCTTCTTGGTAGAAACCAGTTGTGCAGTTCTACAGGACATCTGCTGTGTGACCAACAAAATATTATTAAATACATTTGTTATTTGTCTGTAGCACTGAAGTACATTTACCATTTGCCTTTTGGAGGCAGAATGAGAAGCTTTGCAGTGCTGCCTTATGAGATGGAGTTGATACTTTATGCAGCACCATTAGTCACACAGCAGGCAAATCTCATGCCAGTTTTTGTAAGGATAATTTTTCCATTTTTGCTGTCTCTTAAAATTGAGTGGTTTTTTAAGGTTCTTCTTTCTTGTACTGAACATCCTCTTAAAACAGGGAAAAATGTAGCTCATCTACACAGAATTTAAGTTTGCGAATCACTCTTTTCTATAAATGCATCATTGTCTTTGTAGCTGGCATTTGGGATCTTTTCAGAAGGCAGTTCTAAAACCAAATTTTATTAATCTTCCATACCTTGTTTTAATGTCCTGTTTCTACAGTGCTGTAAGGTTTGCTTGTGTGTGCCTGCAGTGGGGGGCCCTGCTGCCTTGCTGCACAGGCAGTCACTCTGCAAAATGTGCTGATGTCCAGTATAGCAAGTATACCATGCATATGAATGAAAACTTACAGAAAGCTTCCCTCTGCTTTATACTTTATTATTCTAGACTGTTTCAAAGTAAATAACATGAAGTGGAAGGCAGTGGATGGTTGTAAAAGATTGAATCTGTGAAATGCTCCAAAGAATTGGGTTCAGGTTCTTTTCTCAAGCCTGTAGTTAGTCTAGATGAACAAGGTGCTACCTCCAATCTGACCACTTCTTAAAATCGTAGAATCACAGAATCATTAGTGTTGGAAGGGACCTTAAAGATCACCAAGCTCCAACCCCCCTGCCACAAGCAGGGAACCACTAGACCAGGTTGCACAAAACCTCATCCAACCTGGCCTTAAAAACCTCCAGGGGTGGGGCATAAACAACCTCCCTGGGCAACCCATTCCAGTTCCTCACCACCCTGATAGTGAAAAATTTCCTCCTAGTATCTAACCTAAATCTCCCCTCTCTCAGTTTAAAACCATTGCCCCTTGTCCTATCACTACCTTCTCTGATGAAAAGCCCCTCCCCAGCTTTCCTGTAGCCCCTTCAGGTACTGGAAGGTGCTCTAAGGTCTCTCTGGAGCCTTCTCGTCTCCAGGCTGAACAGCCCCAACTCTCCCAGCCTGTCTTCATAGCAGAGCTGCTCCAGCACTTTAATCATCTTGGTGTCCCTTCTCTGCACCCTCTCCAACAGGTCCGTATCTTTCCTGTGCTGGGGACACCAGAGCTGTACACAGTATTCCAGGTGGGGTCTCACCAGAGCAGAGCAGAGAGGCAGAATCTCTTCCCTGGCCCTGGAGGCCACACTTCTTTTGATGCAGCCCAGGATGTGGTTTGCCCTCTGGGCTGCAAATTCTCCTTTCCATATTTTATATCTGCTGGTGAGCCTCCCACATACTCCTGAATGCTTTCCAGTAGCAAAAGAATCAGATCATCTACAATACTTATTTTTATTTTTTTTTAATAATTCTTGGCTAATCTGCCTTGTTTTGGCCACCTGATGTTAGGAAGTGCTTTTATGAACCACTCAACTACGAGATAACCAGTGCTGGTGGTTGCTTCGCGTGAAAAACTGTAAGGAATAAGTAGGGGCACTAACTTCTGCAAAGCAGGGCTGCAGCTGAAGGAGCATGTATGTTGGTAGCCTTAATGGAAGCACTCTTATTTTAGGACCTTTAATTAGAATGAGAAATAATTAGATTTAGGAGTATGTTTGATTAGGTTTTCTCCAATCCTGTAGGATTCCATAGAGATCTTTAACCCCAGTCCACACACACAATGCCTGAATTAAAAAAAAAAGAGGGAGATAACAGACTGACCAAAGAGGGGCAATGGCTCAGCTCCCCACATCAGAATGGAAAAAAGAAATAAAACATTTTATTTTTTTTATAACATTCAGCCTGTTTTATAACAGTCAGCCTGTGTTCTCCTCAAGATCCAGTAGTGCCAGCTGGGGGTGTTAGTGTGCCCAGCTGCTCTGACTACCCACCAGTTACTGCCCTACAGTTCTGACAGGGGAGTTGCTCAGGCAAAATAATTCAGGATAACCTAGTTTAAACAGGAGGTTTGCATGCACACCATTTGATACACTGGATGCACAGAGAAGGGCAGGAATGAAAAGAGGTAGATTGACCAGCAGCTGTGGATGATGCTGTTACGAGGGCCTGTAGTGAGAGGACAAGGGATAACCATTTTAAACTGAAAGAAGAGAGATTTAAGTTAGAGATCAGGAGGAATTTTTTTAGTTTAAGGGTAGTGGGACACTGGAACAGGCTGCCCAGAGTTGTTATGAGGGCTCCATCCCTCGACGGGATGAACGGCAGGTTGGATGGGGCTCTGAGCTGCCTGGCCTAGTGAGAGGTGTCCCTTCCCATGCAGAGAAGTTGGCACTTGATGATCTTTAAGGTCCCTTCGAACTCAAACCATTCTATGTGTCTTATGATTCATTCTATATTTTTATGTCGTCAGATGGCACTTGTGGGTCTAAAGAGGACATATGTTTGCCCCCTCTGGTTGTATTATTGCAAACCAGCAACCACTAGGACACTTCCAGGGTTGTTAGCAATGACAAAAAATTGAGATTCTTCTTGGCAGCAACAAAAAGAAGCTTCTCTTATAGTTCTCTGTCAGTTCTAGATAACTGACATGTCATATCAGTCAAGGTATAAACTGCACCAGACCCAGGCTTTTGAATATCACTGTTGGATTTCTCCCACATATTGATGCATTCATATATACATGGTTTTGTGAATCAGACCAATATAGAGAGCACTCATAGGCCGGAGTCATATAGTTAATGCAGTTTCTAGTATGCCAACCATGAAAGAGAGTATTTGTTTTATTACTGGAAAATAGACTGCAACAATGACCTAATATTTTTTTTTTAAGTAAATTGCTTTTTTGTGTCCCCCCTTTCCAAAATGCACAGCTGTTCATTTTAGGGGATTTTCTATTATCCATCCTTTTGTAGTATCAAAAAATACAGCAGAATTAACACAGATTAGGGAATTCTTTGTGATTGTGAGGTGAGATAGACTGTTTTGCTTGTATTCCTCTGAATAAAAACAGGTCTGAATTACTTTTTAATGTTAACAGTACAGTTAAACTTTTCTCATAATATCAGAGCATAAACTCAGATTTTATAGGCTTTGAGCAATTATTTGGTTGGCATCGAGATAACATTCATTATCATGTTAAGTGCTTTTCATATTAGTTACCACAGACTTACTAGCATTGACTGATTCAAAAAGAAATATAATGGTTATGCTGTATGTAATAAAAGTGATATAATATGATGTGATTTTATGCAAGCATTTATTTATCTGCTAATAAAATATGATGAAAAATAATTATATTTAAGCTCCATGGTGTAGAAATCTTAGAATCTGAGTCAAGGTTTCTGATTTTGAGTGGGGTCCTTAGGTATCAAAAGTTGAATACATTATAAAACCTGCCCCTGCTGGCCTTTGACATGACCTCTATATGTGTAAATAATTCCTCCTGAAGCAATTGACATTTTAGCTACTCCAAGTCTATTTCTGTTGTTTGCAATTCTCTCTCCTTGGGGTTACAATATCATCTTTTTAAGTCAACAATGGAAACACAGCTGAAAGATTGAATTGCATTGGCCTATCCAGTCAGCTGTTGTGTAGGGATATAATTAACCTGCTGTCCTTTCTTTCCCCCTCCTCTTTGGTTTTGTTTTTTTGTTTTGTGGTAGTCTGACCCTTGGTTATCATTGCAGAACTATGGAGGTGCAATGAGACCCCCACTGAATGCTTTAGGCGGCCCGGGGATGCCTGGAATGAACATGTAAGCACAATACTAACATCTTATAATATTTAGTAAAAATCATTCTTTTGTTATACAAGTAACATTTGGGATACATAAAACGAGGAGAATATGCTTTGATGAACAGCATGCTTTGATGACTGGTAACTGCAATTGAAAAAAGTGAACCCACAGCAGTTTCCTTCTTCTGCATGCATTTTTTACAGGTCACTTTACTGTCCCTACAAGCTTATACAATTACTCAGTTTCTTTCACAGGTCAAAGTTCAAATATTTGGAATATTTTTGTCAGTATCATTTCTGATATATACTTGTAAGCATTTTAAAAAAAATAAATACATTATTTACATTTGTAGGTTTACTTTATTGATAAAATATTTTTTAATGCGTAGTAGTTCCTTCCTGCAAAATAAAGAAGTACTTGTTTTATCAAAATAAAACTATTGCCTTTAACTGTTTTTAAAATATATATATATATATATTTGAAAGAAGTGTGGATTATTCTCTCTCTATTGCTGTTTTTATTTTTGTAACTACATTTATATAAACTCTAAACAAATAGAAGAATATTACAGATATGTGTGTAAGGTTTTCTGTGTTTCTGTGTATTTCTGGGGCTGAATTGTCATTTGGTAAAAAACTGATATAGACTGAGTTCAGTTAAGCTACACTGATTTATTCCAGGCATGGATTTAGTCATGTAAGTGTATCATGTCTTTACACCTGTAGGCAGCCTCCCTTTCTAAGTGTGTAGAAAAATTCCATATGTAAGAGTGGTGTATCTAGAGTAGACTAGATTTAAGCTGAGGATAACAAGGGGCCCATCATGAGCAATCTTCTGCACTTCAGATAAAACTTTGCATGCTTGGAGAAGCCTACATGATTAACAAGCCTGGAAAACTGAAAACCAAGAAGAAGGTGCTCCTTGTATTATTTAGACTTTACTCTTAATGGTTTACAAATGTTAAGAGACTGCTGTAGTTACCTTTAGCATAACACAGACCAGGAATTACCAAGTTGTTCTTGTTTCATGGCCCTGTGCCTACTGAAATTGGTGCATTTTTTCATAACTGGCATTTTGCAGAGCCTGGGGTGGTCACAGAGGGCAGCATGGTGGTCTGGCTGGTAAGGCTAGAATGATTTTACCACTTTGAGCAGAGAACATGTTACTGCCTTACTCCTTTTACACCTTTGTCTTTCAAGAATGAGTTTTCAGCAGATTGACACAGTGAAAACACAGTGAAGAGAAATATATGCTTGTTATGTTTATATGATAGATACCCAGTTTTACTCTTATAGGAAACATAAATAAGTGATTATAATTTTAATTTCAAGTGAAGGGTTACCAACCTGAAAAAGTTGAAGAGGAATTGATATGATTCCATTAAAAAATATCGTACCCATCATACCCTTAATTTCTTCTGATTTCCACACATACCTTGGATTCTTGAAGCATATAAAATAAAACCCAAAGTTGGGTGTTACTCTATCATACGTATCATATATTAGACTCAAGACAATTCTAGGAATAATTCTAGGCATTTCTTCTCTTAAATAAAAATGATGTTGAAAAAATATTTAGATATTTGAAATTCTTTGTGAGTGTAATATAAGCACTGTGGATGTTGTCCTCAGGAGAAAATTGAATTATAAGAAAATAAAATTAGCTTTCTAAAATCAATTGTAGAAATAAAATTGAGGGTAGGTAGGATATTTCAAGGCTCTTTATACACATAAATGAGAGTTTACACAGAAAAAATAAGAAACAGGTTCCTGGGTGAGAAAAAAAATTCCTGGGCTGCTAGAAAGAGAGAATATGGGTTGAAATACTAGCATTTCCATATTGGAGAATTTGGTAAGTACATTTAATCTTGTGTTGAGCCAGTAAATACACAGAGATCATGTTCTTTTAATTCAGTGTTCTAGGAAGTACATTTACCTTTGAACCTGTATGTCCTTTTCAAGAGGACACTATTAACTGGAGTATTTTACTTGGGAAATTCATTAACTTTGATACAGAGTATGATGTTAGAAAAACAGTATGTGAAACAGTAATTATGAAGCAGGTAACAGTAGCTTCCTCAGTGCCTTACAGACAGGTACTGCATTGATACTGCATGAATAATTTTTTTACCATCAAACTGAGTTGTTTTTGGTTGTTTTGTTTTACTTTGTCACATGGGGCGGCAAATATTGATCAAAGGAAAACAAAGGTGTTGCTGTGGTCTGGGTTTCTTTTAATTGTATTTCCAGGACATCAGGTTTTTTTCTTACTGCAAAGTTACTACTGTCAGAGTTGTACTTACACTGAAATCTTAGTGAAGACTCATTTTCTGGTCAATTCTAGTATTCAGGGTTGTTTAGAGTGCATCTAATGCTAACCTACAGGCATTGGCAATAGATGGACCCAGCTGTGCTAAATATATTCTTTGTATTATCCCTTAAATTTTTTCTAAAGCTGAGAAATAACAGTGTATGTCATTTAGTGTACTTTTATTTCTAGGAAACAGGGTAACTATACGTAAGTTTATTGCCTTATAGTAAAATCCATTTGTCTTTACAAAGCCATATCTTTTTCTTACATGAAAATTTTTCAAATTTTCAGTGTTCTAGTCAATGCTTTTGGATTTTTGGCAATTTTAAAATACAAAAATGTGTGCTTTACCAAAAATACCTCCAAAACACACAACAACAAAACCGACCAAACAAACAAACAAAAGACATCAACAAAACCAGAAACCACAAACATTTAAAATCCAGGTTTTCTCCTTGGAAAGCACAAAAGGCAGCTGTTTTGGTTAAGAGCAGAATATTTGCTAAATATAATTGTACATTTTTCTCAATGGAAGAGTCTTCTTTATTTTTAAAAATAACAACAACCAGCTTGGGAGCTCATAGACAATATTTCAGTCCAGGGGCATATATACTGCACAAAACTACTAAATAATTGCTCAGTTATAACTAATGCCTGTCAGATTACTGTTTGAAACATCTGATACATATCCTATGTTCTTCTACAAAATAACTTCATTTTACCAGTAAGGTTTTAAGTTGAACTTGGTGTAGCCATTCTTAGTAAGATCTTTCTTTCTTTCTTTATGGAAAAGTGCCTTCTTTGGAACAAAATGGTAAATTTCAGGGATCAGTGTTACTTTTCACTAGCACTTTTTAATGACTCACATGACCTGCAGTGCTGTCTCAAGTGCTAAGAATATCTCAGTCATGCCTGAAAAGAAAAAAAAAAAAGTGATTTTGTTTATAACTTCTAATCATAAACTTGTGTCTAAATGTTTAATTTCCTGACTCAATATATTTGCCCCCTGGGAAACTGAAATTTTAGACTTTATTTTTTCAAGTATTGGGATCAACACTGACAGACTTTAAGGATAAAATGCAGGTGCAATTAGTCATAGATAGGTACTTCATCAATCACTCTGTATTGGAATTGGTACATGCATAATAATGTTTTATGACTTTGCTGATGCCTTCAAAATAAGCATTTAATAAAGGGGGGAAAGCTTGCCTGCATTGCATAAAAAAACCCCAACAAACAGCAGGTAGCTTTTTTGTCTGTGTGATTTATAAACTAAGAATGTGTGGCTCCACAAAAACCATATGGCTTTCCAGCAGAATCTGCTGCAGTGTTTTCTAAGTGTATACACAAAGCTGTCTGTGGCTTCCAGTAATTTTGGTAATTCCAACAGCTTTTAAGATGAAAGGTGAGTTTCCCAGTCTTCTGTGCAAATTTCTGTGTTGCTGTGGCTTAGCCCAGTCATGTATCTGAGTTGGCTTTTTAGGTGTATCTGATGTTCAGGGTAATTGTCACAGCTATTTCCCATTTGATGCTTTGTCCTGGATTTATTGGTGTTACTTAATGTCACACAAACAAGTGCAGGGATTTGGGGTTAGAAACAGAATTTCAGTGTTGTTACAAATATCCTTGATTTGTCTGAAAACGAGGATCCAATAAACCAAGTATGGTACTTAACAAAATGAACAACTTTTTGAGGAAAAAAACCAACAAGCAACCAAAAAAACGAGCACACAGTATTTCACCTTATAATCACTGGAATGAATCACTAAGGAGCATGAATACTGTGAGTTCCTGTCATTGCTTAGCCTCCCCTCACCTACATTCCTATTTTCCAACCTTCCAAAAATATTAGTGGAAATAAATAAATTTAAACTTGATTTATTTCTGTGAATGGTTTGATCTAATTTTTTAACATTTTCATTAACAAAGTAATTTTAAAAATAGGATTCAATATTAAATCATTCGGCCAACATATCTACTTAGCAATTTGTAGGTCTGCAGGACTTCAAAATAGATTGAAAACTTCCTGAGCTCATTAATAAAGCCTGCTTTCTTCTCTCTGTTGAAGTCGCTTTCCCATGAGTGCTAAGCTGTGGAGGTTAATGTTGCTTTGCTAAAGCTAATGAGGCCAAAAAGCCATTTTAAATGCAAAAGTTTTGTCATCTGCTCTGACTCTCAGTTGTCAGGGCCTTCAAAAAAAAGTGATTTTGTCTTCTTTATAAATAACTAGGAGTTCTCAATGCTCCCAGGAATAATTACAGTTACTGAGATGTTATGACTGTAAACATGGAGATTTTACCTCCCATATGGCTTCGTTCTCTTAGGACTGCTAGAAGATGAAGCCTAACCATGGAACTGTTTTTCTGAGCTCAGCTAGGAGTGAGAAACTTAAAATAACAGCAAGAATTGTGAGAAAAACATGCCCATTCTGAACGGTTTCCCTTTTTCCCTTTCCCCGTTCCCTTCTGCTTTTAGTACCGCTCTGATGTCTCTTGGGAGTTGGCTCAATCAAACAAGAACATTTGGGCCAAGTGGAAAAGAATGTCTGAGAAGTCTGAAATTTTCTTTTTCCCTGCTGTATGATGAATTTTGTTTCTGTGACTTAAGTGGAGATAATGTAGCCTTAGTCAAGTAGCAAAATGTTTTTCTGTACCTACCTATACATGTTTAAAGTGTATTTATAAAATGGCAGGTTTTCAATTTTTAACACACAATATTTCTTATTGCTGTGATTATATATAGCAACATGTTTTCCGTGCCTTGTTCCTTTAAAAAATAGGTTATCCTGAAACATTTAGAACGTACTAGCATTGCATTAGCTAACAAACCTTTACTGTACTTGCAGTATTCTAGATCCATGCATCCTCAGTTCTTCAGGAAGGTGCTTAATCACATAAGCAAGAGTACTGCTCTTTCTGAAAGTACACTTATATTTTAGTACCTCTCTGCCTTTGGCTGTAATGTAAGTAGGCTTTTGTGGAATGTGTGGTACTTTCTCCAAATATTTTTTAAAGTATTAACAGAGTATAAAGGAAAACACTCCTCATGAGAACTTAAAGAATTTGGGAACTGTTTTTTTTACTCTTTGCAGAACTTCTGTGCCACATTAAAAATTATTATCTGCTTAACACAGAGTTAAATTTTCTGTGAACCAGCAGG